ACAACTTTCACTTTTGAACCAATTTGCAACCTCTTTTCAACGTCGGGCCATAGACGTCTTTTAAACGTTGTTTCAACGGATAAATTGCTCGCTGGAAACTTACAAGTTACATACTTAGTCACAGTTGTCATGTTAACAGCCCTTAACAAGGACAAACACATTATTTTATTGATTTGTATTTATTATAAATATAACACTATACATATAACAACACTTTTGCTAATTAAAAACAATACAGAAATAAAATATATTTTTCAGGAAAATAAATTATGGAATTAAAAGTGCAGAAACAACATTTCTGTGTTCAACAATTCTGTGTTTGTAGACCATTTTTCTGAATCATTGGAACTTCATTATAGATTCTGTAACAAGATGTGGCTCACTTGAGTTGGGATAGTATACCTGAAATCAGCTGCATCTCCCTCATCCTCACTTGAGGATTCTTTGTGTAAAGGGAGTCAGAGTGCACGGAGCAGATTCCTCTGGTCAACGTGTTTATTCGATTCAAATCATTTTATTTTGTTCAGCTTTGCAATCTGTAAACATGCAACATCCTGTCCTGAAACCCCCAAAATGTAAAAAGCCTTCAACCGGGAGAAACCTGAGGGGAAAACAGCAGGGAAGATGGTGTGTAGAGTATGAATGACTTAAAGATGTACAGTACATCCAATTCCTACGACAGAAATGATTCTAATATTGTCGATTATTAAGACAGGGGTAAGGCAGGACCAGTGCAGGGACAACCATCATCAGACGTAACATCAGATGCAACCACCACCCGCAGAAACCTGTGAGGTGGGAAAGCACAAAGGCAAAGTTGGTCATTTGGGTTTATGATGACAGTAATAAACTAGTAATAATAACAGCAGCAGCAGGTGTGTTAGAACACTCATTTATAGGTGGTTTACTTATTACATTATCAACAAGATAACAATTCATCTGCAACTTATGGTATTTCTGGAGTAACATTTCCAGGTATATTACACAGTATCATGCTTTAAGCAGCAGTAACTTACAATGTGTTGTCCCTCTTGTTTACAGACCACAACTTGTTGAATTCAGCCCTTCACCCTTGCAATCTGTATTTAGCCCCCATTGCTTTAAAAACGTATTTTCAATGTGAAATGCAATACCATTTATGGGTACAGCAACAACCTAACGCATTAGTAACACCAAAGACACAAAAAATATTCGGGGATGTTTACTTTTGGTCCAGGTCATCATGCTGCACGCTAGCATGCTAACTAGCAAACTACCTGCGCTAACGCTAACTAGCTTAACAAAAAGGGCAGTCTTTCCTGTATCGGGTGAGCAGCACAAGTAAAACACCCGGTTATAGTTCCATGTGTGCTTCATCCAAACACTTCCGTACTTACAGAGTAGTGGAGCCGGTAGTCGTGGTTCTATCAGCCCGTTCATGTCGCTCTGCTGCCGTAACTTCGCTTCGTGCTGCGTCCGCTCGGAGCTCTGCAGGCGTCTAAGAACTCGCGCATGCGCGTTACAGATGTGAGCGGAGTTTAGTAAAAAGTAAAGTTAAGTAAAAAGTTTGTTTACAAGTAATTTAGAACGATTCGATTCAGTGACTTGAAATCGATTCAGTAACTTTACTGGACAGTGCAGGCAAAGTTTCTGAGATCTCTGTTGTTTCTTGAAAGGAAATCAGGTTTAAATTAATTATGGATATTATAAACAAGCAAACGTTAATACGTTAATGCCATTAATTGTTGTTTGCTTTTATTTGAATCAAGTGCCATTTTCAATGTAAACATTACACAATAATTACACAATGTTTGGATCAATTCACAGAACCCCGGATTTTCAACCACATTGTAGGGTCGCATGTCTTTACAGATAAACTTGGCAATTGTTACTGTGATGTTGAGTTTCTTGCTGGCGAGGCCTGAGGTGTCTGCAGAGCTGGAGTTACCTGCTGCTGCTGCAGCGGTGACGCTGCTAGAAGTGCCTGACTGTCAGTGTTGTTTAATCCCACGGCGCCTTAGTAGATAGCCGGAAAGATTCGTCGTGTTTCCTTGGTCTTTTATTTGGCTTCTACATATTCTACAAACAGCGATCGACTTATTTAGAACACCTACGTGTTAGCAAAAGCCAAAATGTTTCCACACGCTGGATCGAGTTGGTTAAGTTGGTTTGTAAATGTCTCGCTCGCAGTCGTCTCCTGTGGGGCACACAGAGCCAGAGATCCATCACCTCTGCAGGACAGAGGGGAGCAGATGTAATCGTGGTGATTCGGTCAGGGAAGCCGGATGGTTAATGGAGTGCGAGCGATTAGATTAGCAGAGGCTGCTGGGCAATGTAGTGTTTCCAATTGAGTTGGTAGGTTGTGTGTGTGTGTGTGTGTGTGTGTGTGTGTGTGTGTGTGTGTGTGTGTGTGTGTGTGTGTGTGTGTGTGTGTGTGTGTGTGTGTGTGTGTGTGCGTTCATGTCTCCGACTAGTCTGCACGGCAGACATAAGGCTGCACAGGTACCCTCCCGTTAACACGCCCCTCTGCAATCATGGCAATCATGTATCAGTGCAAACAAGCAACCAGGTGTTTTTTATTTTTTACGACAAGCTATTTAGAGTTAGACAACAGATGCACCACTAATGTATTGTATCTTACCCTATGATATATGTAGTCACTGTCAGAACTTAATATGATATCCGAGGACACGGGTTAACTGATTAAAGCAGAACCAGACGGTGAGAAAAACAGCAACCAGTCGGGGTCACCAACAGAGTAACCACAGTGATTCTATACAGATAAATAGGATTCCAACAACATTTGTATGCCAGGATATTTGACTTCAAGGAGGATTAGTGTTGGGACAAAAGCGCTAGGTGAGGTAAAAATAAAGTAAGAAGAGAGGAAGACAAGCCAAAGTCAAATGGATTAACAAATAGTTTGAGCAAATGTAGAACAAGTGGCTGGGTACTAAATAACATTTTTATATAGTTAGTGATCTCTCTGCTTGATTTCTGCTTGCGTGTACTTGCTGCTTATGACTTCAGTTGATCCCCACACAGTCCAATGAGACTCAATTATTGACGACATTGCATTCCATTTGTATCTGACAGCAATTGGGCCTAACGTTGTTAATCTTAAGGATTGATCAAAATAACTATCCCGATGGCTTCTGCAACGGAATACCCATACGTATCATGTTTACATTTGAATTGGTAATCAGCAGACTTCTATTTCCTCTCTTCTGGACTTCTGCAGCTCATTGTGTTTATGATGACTTCTTACTGCACTAGAAGTAGAGAACACATCTCTTCCCGTATGAGTAACCGTTACATTGGGTGCATGTCCCTTTTAGAATTATTAAAAGTTGTGATTCTGTTAAATACTCTCTGTAGTTCATCTCAAATAACATTAACATTTCAAATAATTTAACAGCTTATTCAAGACGCCTTAAATCTGACAGAAAATGATTTTTTAAAAGCCTGCTGTCTCGGTCAAAGTGCTGTTTCTGCTATGGAATTGTTTGTCACTGGCACCCTTTAAAATGCCAGCAAAAACACCTTTCACCTATGGGGGCCTCTCAGAGATTGATTGTCGGTTTATTACAGATTCTGTTTTAAATCACAATCAGTGAAATGCAAGAAGAAACGGCAGTGATAAGAGAAAGTAGGTGTAACGGGAAGGTAAATTCTGACAGTTGAAAAGTGAACTGCAGGAAAGAATGAATAAATATTTCGATATATTTATATGTAACAGAATGAGATTATCTTAGGGTAGGTATTTCAACACAGCGTGTGTGTGTGTACGTGCGCACGTATGTGTGAATGTGTAACACTGAAGGAATTCTGTAGGTCGAATTAATTTTTAACTGTACTGTATTGAGCTCTAAAGAGTAACGATCAACACCAATGCCGCTGCACGTCATTTCTTTCCTCTTTTTATAAATTGGATTCATATAAATATCCTCCAAATGATCCGTTGGAGCCAAACTGCACACCACTTCAGTACACGCATGCTCGCACCTTTCACACGCTGACGCTTCTGTTACGTACTGCTGGGTCACCGGGAGGGAGCGGCTGTACTTCTCATTTAGTTAAGATAATTTTTTCTTCTCACACAGACAAACACAAACGTCACTGAAGATGCTATAGTTACATTATACAGTATGTGTAATAGACCAGTGGCTCCATAGGAAGTGCCCATCCGAACATTCCTACAGACTCTGTGAGAGTCAGAGAACATTTAGCTTTTTTCTGCAGAATAATTTGGTAACGGAGAAATGTAGCTTTAGGGGAGGCACGACTCTTTCACCGCAGGTGCTTAAAGGATTTGCAGTTGTATCACAAAGCTTCTGGTACCTGCAGATGCTATCAAAAATCCACTGCGGTAGGTAGATAACAACGCAATGTCATTTCTTTCAACGTAATTATGGTGCTAAAGGTCTGGCATCACCGAGGCCAAAGGATTCAGGGGATTCAAGCAAACACACTTGGCTACAGCATAGTTTGGTGCTGTAGGCGACGCATGGGAAGGGACTATAGAGAAAGTAGAAATGGGAGAGAAGCTGACTTAGGTCTTTTGGTCCTAGTCGAGAGTCTATTAGGCCATTATTTCATTTTTTGTCATGCAGAAAAACGGTGCTAATGAGCTGTGCTAAACTCGTAAGTACTCATCTCTGGTAAACACAATATTTAAAGAGTGGCTTTTGCAAAATTGTTAAAATTCTTGTTCTTTCAACAACCCAACAGGGTCTAAAGGAATTTGTTTCTATGAGGCAGGTTTGTTGTTGTTTAGGGTTTAATCATTTAAAAGGTACAGTACTTACTTATTTAAACCAACAAACTCATAACTGAGAAATGTCAACTGATAAAGACATAAAAAGTCAGTTAAAAAGTCAAGTGAAGCTTTACTTTGTTTCGTAAAGAACCTTTATACAATATGCATGAATATTTGTATCTTTGTATGAAACACAATTTTGTTTACTCCCATAAAACAACCTAAATTTGACTTTGCCTTCTCCGTCTCTCTTCCCCTGCAGTCCTTGCTCCTCATTCGTCACGAGATGGTGGTTTCCCAGAAGAAGCTCGGCGACTTCTGTGACGCTCTGAAGCAATATCTGAAGAATGTCTCCGCTCAGAGAGACTGCTTTCAGTAAGTCTGCACATGCTCACAGCCGCACTGCTGCTGCCGCTGGGGCAGAGCGCAGCACCATAATCCTACTCTTTTTTTATATTTAATGTGCTCCATTTTTAGTGACAGGGCCTTTCGGGTTTTTCTCACTTTGACTTCCACCTCAAATATGATCTCCTCTGTTCTTTGATGTTTGAACATACACCGTTTTGCTTTTTTCAGGGTAGTTCCTCATCATCCTTCCTCAATTTGAGAAAAAAAAAAACTCAAGTGGTTTGGATCGGTGATTTAATAACAGCATACACAATATGTATTAATTAAGTCTAATACACTCTTAGCTTGCGTATTATAACGTTACTTTGACTAAAACTTCAGGGTGCCGTGAAACGGTTTAATATCTAAGGAGATTTCTCCAGATCCCAGACTCAATGTTCTGTGTGCATAGTCCACAGACATATTGTGCATGTACGCCCTCGGCAAGACTCTGACGATGTGGCTCTGCTGCAACTCTTCTATTTGTGTTACGTTTCTCCCTCCAGTTACTGCAGTCTATACTTTGGAATAAAGGGTCTGCAAGAGGGGCAGAGGAAGAATTGGCATGACTATAGGGCTGCAACTAACGATTATTTTGATAATCGATTAATCGGTCGATTATTTCTTTGATTAATCGATGAATCGGATTTTTCAAAAATGGCATTAAAAAGCTTTAATTTCCAACCCTTTATTCTAAAACAGAACCTCAAATTTGTCAGAACTAGTTCTCTATACTACACTCACAAACACACCCTCATGTTCACTTGAAGCATATTCATTAAATTATTACCATCGTTGTAGTGCAAGTTAAAAAACAACCAAGTGCTATGAGTTGAATTTAAAATGGTATTTGTAAATAAATGCATTAGAGGCTTCTTAGTTGATTTAATGGATCACCATGTGTCTCCCTTTACAGCAGGGGTGTCAAACTCAATGGCACAGGGGGCCAAAATTCAAAATACACTTCAGGTCGCGGGCCGAACAGAATAAACATTTATTGAACACACTAAAGCCAAACGTTTCTTTTAACATAAATATAAATACAAACAGACAGGAATGTTATTCTGCAATAAATAAACTTAAACTTTAAATAACTTAAAATATCTTGTTCTCCAGTTATACAAGTTAGAAATATGAACATGCTGCAAAAAAACGCCTGAAAAAATAAATAAAAATTGTGACAGTGCTTGTGCTTTAAGTAAACATGAAAATAACAAATCAAAACATTTGAGTTTCTTTGCTTTTGTCATTTTATATAAAAAAAAACCTTAGATTTTAAATATCACAAATGATTTTACTCTCCATAAAAATATCTTCTGTCAAAATTATACAAGTTAGAAATATGAACATGCTGCAAAACAAAACAAAACCTGAAAATATAAATAAAATTTGTGCTTTTCAGGAATAACAAATAACGATTTGTAACGGTCGGGATTATTACCGCCGCCTTATAGGGGTTATAAAGCATTTACTCTGGGGAGGACTGAGTGGGACAGGATCTGGGTCCCCCACACTCAATGCCTGTGGCCTCGATGCTCAGATGAGTGAACAGGTTGTTTACTATTTAGCAGCTAGACTGGACGGTAGCTTCTTAGACTGGGCAAAGTGGGCTTCAGCAGGTGGTCGTCTGAAGTGTGTGTGGGGTGCGTGAGGTAACCCCCCCCCCCCCACTCTACCCAGGTCTAGCTAAACAGGTGAGGCGCCCTTACCCCAGATAAGCAGCCCAATATACTAGACTAAGTTAAACAAACACGTACAGCTGTTATTCCCTCTATTGTTTACTCAAGGATAAACACAGAGCACAAGAAAAACATATTCAAATACGAGACAGTTATATGGGATGGTTTCATTAATATAGTCACCTAGAAACCTCACGAATGGCTACTCAATACCTCTGTTTCACTTCATCATCAAACATTGGGTGCTTAACTTGGCACTTAGTGGGCCATACCCGTCTATTGTAAGTTCTCATGGAACCTGGGGAAGCAACGTTCACCCTTATGACAACTAAAAATGGCTCCCTTTAACCAGAACAGTAAACTTAACAGAGAATATAGCTTACTTCTAAAGGCATTTCACATTCACATTCCAATAAACTTACTTTAGATGGCAAAATAAACAGTTACTCAGCGTCTGCTGTGCCAGTCCGCATGAGCTAACCGGGTCACTCCGGTGTGTATGGGTGCGTGTGTGTGTGTACGTGTTGGTGTCAGCTCCGTTGCTGTTCAGTTCAGTTCAGTAGGTGCTGTTAGCGTCTGCGTGCTTGGGTGTGTGTGTGGGCGCACAGCGCGGCTAGTTCGTTCAGTTCACAGACAGTTCTGTTCGGCTGCACACGCCGCCTGCTGGTTCATGGATCAGTGTGTTGAAATGTGGTGCAGTGATTACCCATACAACCGCAGAGGTCACACGTCGTGGGATGTCCGATGGCTGGCAGGGTAAACCTCCAATGAAACGGGTTGTCTTGACGTCAATCGCCCCCTTTCCCGCGCAGCTCACGCACGGAGTGGGGAGAGGTGGGCAGAGCTTTTAGCTAGCACGTTGCACCTCGAGATGTTGATGTCCCGGCTTGCTCTTCCTGAACACTCCTCCAGTCATCTTCATCGGTGCACCGCCATCTAGCCCCAACTAAATCCCAGTGAGCACAAGACGTAATTTCAACGTTGAAATATGGTTGAAATCGGGTTGAAATGAGGTCTGAACGTCTAAGACCTCATTTCAACGTCTTTTCAACCGGCTAAAAATGGGATAAAACATCAACGTGCGAGAAAACGTCAATTTGTTGACAAATGTGTTATGATGTAACGTAAGGTTGAAAGATAGACGATATTAACGTTAAGATTTTCATAATAATTAATGAACTGGTCGGCGAAATTTGGTCTACGCGAAGACGTAATTTCAACGTATTTAATATTTCACTTAAAACGTCATAAATATGAAACTACGGACTGCGTGCTGCTAATAAGATGCGTTTAAGACATAATAATGCGGGCAGGTTCAAACATTACTTGTAAACACGTAACTCCGCTCACATCTGTAACGCGCATGCGCGAGTTCTTAGACGCCTGCAGAGCTCCGACCGGACGCAGCACGAAGCGAAGTTACGGCAGCAGAGCGACATGAACGGGCTGATAGAACCACGACTACCGGCTCCACTGCTCTGTAAGTACGGGAGTGTTTGAATGAAGCACACATGGAACTATAACCGGGTGTTTTACTTGTGCTGCCCACCCAATACGGGAAAGACGGCCCTTTTTGTTAAGCTAGTTAGCGTTAGCGCAGGTAGTTTGCTAGTTAGCATGCTAGCTTGGAGCATGATGACCTGGACCATAGACGTCGGGCCATAGACGTCTTTTAAACGTCTTTTCAACGTTGAAATGCTCGCTGGTTGAAATGTGGTCTAAACGTAAACGTCTTTTCAACGTCTATGAATAGACGTTGAAACAACTTTCACTTTTGAACCAATTTGCAACCTCTTTTCAACGTCGGGCCATAGACGTCTTTTAAACGTTGTTTCAACGGATAAATTGCTCGCTGGAAACTTACAAGTTACATACTTAGTCACAGTTGTCATGTTAACAGCCCTTGACAAGGACAAACACATTATTTTATTAATTTGCATTTACAGTAATCCCTCGTTTATCGCGGGGGTTACGTTCCGAAAATGACCCGCGATAAGTGAAATCCGCGAAATAGAAAACTTTTTTTTTTTTTACAATTAGCAACTATTACATGTATACAAATACAGTGACTCGCGTGTAGGCCGTTTCACTGCTCTTCAGACTGGGCCGCTGCATCCTGACTGCGCTCTGCAGTGTTCTCTTCTTCTGAAGCCCGCGGTGCAGGTGTGTTTGTTCGGGAGAAGAACATAGTGATAGGCAGCTGTTGTCGCTCTTTTTTCTTCTTTGCAAAAAGATCCTTGTACACCGACATGCCACCATCGATTACGTTGGAGAACTGTAATGAACGGCTCGGGAGTGAGTTTTTAGCGAATCAGAATGCAGAGCACAATGCACCAAAAAAAAAAAAATGCAATATGAAAATCCGCGAAATAGCGAATCCGCGATAAGTGAACCGCGAAGTGGCGAGGGATCACTGTATTATAAATATAACACTATACATATAACACTTTTCCTAATTAAAAACAATACAAAAATAAAATATATATTTCAGGGAAATGAACTATGGATTTAAAAGTGCAGAAACAACATTTCTGTGTTCAACAACAACAATTCTGTGTTTGTAGACCATTTTTCTGAATCATTTGAACTTCATTTTTAGATTCTGTAACAAGATGTGGCTGTGAGTCACTTGAGTTGGGATAGTATACCTGAAATCAGCTGCATCTCCGTCATCCTCACTTGAGGATTCTTTGTGTAAAGGGAGTCAGAGTGCACGGAGCAGATTCCTCTGGTCAACGTGTTTATTCAATTCAAATCATTTTATTTTGTTCAGCTTTGCAATCTGTAAACATGCAACATCCTGTCCTGAAACCCCCAAAATGTAAAAAACCTTCAACCGGGAGAAACCTGAGGAGAAAACAGCAAGGCAGAAGGTGTGTAGAGTATGAACAATTTAAAGATGTACAGTACATCCAAGTCCTACGACAGAAATGATTCTAATATTGTGGATTACTAAGCCAGGGGTAAGGCAGGACCAGTGCAGGGACAACCATCATCAGACGTAACATCAGATGCAACCACCACCCACAGAAACCTGTGAGGTGGGAAAGCACAAAGGCAAAGTTGGTCATTTGGGTTTATGATGACAGTAATAAACTAATAATAATAACAGCAGCAGCAGGTGTGTTAGAACACTCATTTATAGATAGTTTACTTATTACATTATCAACAAGATACCAATTCATCTGCAACTTATGGTATTTCTGGAGTAACATTTCCAGGTAGATTACACAGTATCATGCTTTAAGCAGCAGTAACTTACAATGTGTTGTCCCTCTTGTTTACAGAGCACAACTTGTTGAATTCAGCCCTTCACCCTTGCAATCTGTATTTAGCCCCCATTGCTTTAAAAACGTATTTTCAATGTGAAATGCAATAACATTTATGGGTACAGCAACAACCTAACGCATTAGCAACACCAAAGACACGAAAAATATTCTGGGATGTTTACTTTTGGTCCAGGTCATCATGCTGCACGCTAGCATGCTCCAAGCTAGCATGCTAACTAGCAAACTACCTGCGCTAACGCTAACTAGCTTAACAAAAAGAGCAGTCTTTCCTGTATCAAGTCGGCAGCACAAGTGAAACACCCGGTTATAGTTCCAGGTGTGCTTCATTCAAACACTCGCGTACTTACAGAGCAGTGGAGCCGGTAGTCGTGGTTCTATCAGCCCGTTCATGTCGCTCTGCTGCCGTAACTTCGCCTCGTGCTGCGTCCGCTCGGAGCTCTGCAGGCGTCTAAGAACTCGCGCATGCGCGTTACAGATGTCAGCGGAGTTACGTGTTTACAAGTAATGTTTGAACCTGCCCGCATTATTATGTCTTAAACGCATCTTATTAACAGCACGCAGTCCGTAGTTTCATAATTATGACGTTTTAAGTGAAATATTAAATACGTTGAAATTACGTCTTCGCGTAGACCAAATTTCGCCGACCAGTTTATTAATTATTATGAAAATCTTAACGTTAATATTGTCTATCTTTCAACCTTACGTTACATCATGACACATTTGTCAACAAATTGACGTTTTCTGGCACGTTGATGTTTTATCCCATTTTTAGCCGATTTCAACCATATTTCAACGTTGAAATTACGTCTTGTGCTCACTGGGTAATATTAAATGATCTCGCGGGCCAGATGTAATTGCATGTTTAAAGTTTAAACATTTAAAAGAGACGACAGTTCTGACAGAATCAGACACACGCAGGACGGTCTGCGGCACAGACTGTTACATGGAGATATTCATTCGGTTCAGAACTAATAAATATCTATATTTCTGATACGGGTAGACGGAATCAAGCATTGTGATTGGTTTAGAGTTAGTGAAGGTGTGTAGTGCATTGAGCCATAATGTACTGTACACCTGTTTACATTTAGCTGAGTGTTCCATGTGCGCACTCAAGATAAGTAGCTTCTGCGCAACCGTTAGTGTCATTTCAAGCTTAGCAAACATGTTTTGTGTAAACTTTCATATTTCGGGAGGACAGTACAGGTAGACGTCATGAGCAATGTGAATGAATGAGCAGGTCTAGCAAGGGGACCTGGGATGTTTTCAGACAATGTACAAATTAATGTCAATCTCCAAGCTAATTATCAACAAGCTTTTGATGCTAAGCTAACACACGTGATGTTGCCTGTTTGTCTGTTCACAGCAACAGCCACACGAACGGGGTCTATTTTCTCTAGGCTACTGAAATGCGATACACAACATTCGGTGCCTACAACTATGCCTACAACTATCCTAAGAATGGATGAAGTGACAATAGGTAATGTGAAAAGGGACCATCGTAAAGACAACCAGTGGAAAGGCGAGATGGAGCCCTTGTTCATTACAGCGAAATGTGTTTTCTAAAGTGCCTCGTAGAAGTGACCATTAACAGCAAGCCTCCTCCATCCGCACTGACCGGGTTCACACACACAGATTATTATAGCCTCATCTTTAAAATGGGATGCAATCCTCGAGCCCTCATCATTGTGTCAAGTGCTGTGGCATCAATATTGTGCATTCACCATCATTTTCTCCTTAAACCTAAACTGTTATTGTGTGTGTGTTTTCATTTCAATAATATGTCTTTTCTGTGCGCCTACCATGACGTATGTGTCCCCATATCCTCAACATCCTCCATCTTGCTTCTGTTATATGCACCTTCTCCACCTTTCTCTTCTTTGGTGTTGAGCCTATCCTCCCCCCACCACCCACCTACGGTATGCCTGTACCTCTTCCCCCTCCTCCCTTGATCTACTTACCATTCTGTCATAATCTCACTTCTCCAACCGTAACCTTGCTGACTATCACCCACTCATTGCCATTCTCCTCTGTCTCCGCTCCAGTGTGAATGCGGTGCGCCTGCCGGACGGTGTATCCTTTGTCGTCTATGAGTTCTGGGAAGGAGAGGAGGAGTGGAAGAGGTGAGTTTTCAAGCCCTCTCTTATGTCCGTCACTCACGGCAGTGTTGAGAGATTTTTGAATTCCTGCAACCTGTGAAACAAAGCAAAGAAACATTTAAGTAGAAGTCTTGCTGTGCTACTTCAAATGGGACAAAACAGGCAGAATGACACATCTGTAAATGTTGAGAATGTTGGCCCATTGCTGCAAGACGTTTCATTCCTAAGGCACCTTGAAAGTATTAAAAGAAATTAACGAGTGTAGACAATTAGTCTTTCTTAAAATGCTTGCTAGTCAGCACTCTGGCTCCTTGAGGAGTCTTTCTCCAGCTGATCGTGCCATTTCTTCGTGGCGCAGGGGTTAGAGAAGGTGTGCTGGGAAGCACAAGGTTGTTGGTTCGATTCCAGGCTGCCCCATGTTCCACGTCGAAGTGTCCCTGAGCAAGACACCTAACCCCTAATTGCTCCCCAGGCAAAAATGCGAAAAAGCCATGGGTTTAAAGTGTGATGTAAGTCGCTTTGGACAAAAGCGTCTGCTAAATGACCTGTAATGTAATGTAATGCTTGTTGGGAAAACTCCCCCCGCCTCACTTAATTAGCATCCTTCAGCCATTCACTCACTCCAAAGTTGCTGAGGCACTTGAGCTGCGTCAGATCAACATGATTGAGTAATGGTGGTGGGCTTGAGGAGAAGCTGCTGACGTAGCTTCTGCTCCACTGCTCCAAGCATCCAACTGTCATAAATATTTCAACTCCTACAGTAAAGGATGGAGGCCGTGCCGAGCAGTTTAAAGCCAGGTGGGCAATGACGCGTGGCTCTGCAGATGCGTTTGCTCGTAGACATACACGTTGTGTGAGCAATTATGTGTGTGTGTGTGTGCGCTCTCTTACCCTCCCTTCTAATTCTAGGCACCTCCAGTCAGCCCCCAACAAAGCCTTTCAGCATGTGAAGGTGGATACACTGTGCCAGCCGGAGGCAATGTCCTCAGTAGCCGTGCCAGGTCAGTTGAGAACTACTACAGAAGAAGTTTTACTAATAGTCAAAGGAGCTGTCCAGTGATTTTAAATGTTGGGTTTAGTCCACTAGTCATGGGCCTGGTCGAGCCTGTGAGAGAAGTTTGAGACATTCATAAAACACATGGGCATTTACCAGTTGCATTGTGAGGGTGTCAGTCTTGGAATTGGTGTATTTTAGAGAGGGATCCTCTCCAGGGAGTCACGTTCTGAGGCCCGTCGCAAACTCACAACAAGTTACACGCTGCATCTCAGGTAGCTGCTTTCAACGTGCTTTAAATGAGGCACAGCTTGATATCATTTTGAATGGTTTCTGTCTGATAAAAATGGTTGGGGAATAACACATTCATAATAATCAGTGATAGGAGGAAATAATATTCAGAATCTATGTTAGTCCCACTGTTATCGCTCTCATCAGAAGGAATATATTTGTTTGTATTAAGAATAAAACATCCGTGGATTCTGCTATTGTGTTAATAATATTCAGCCTGATTCCATGTGTAATACTAGTGTACTAAATGCGAGTACATTCTCAATTGGCTCCTTTCTTTTACTGAGCATAAATTGTTTACTTTGTAAAATATCAAAGAGAATATTGCTACCAGAGACCAAGACTGTTTCTTTAAAATAGACTAAAACAATCCAAACCACTAGTTATTCAAGATAAGAAATCTATAGAAGATAGAAGTTGTTCTTAATAAATTACTTCAGTGCATTATCACCTTTAAGGTTAGAGGTTATCCATTAACAAGCTCAGCACAGAATGTAAAACAATCATCATAAAATAGAATGTAAGTTAGTAATGAATAGAAAAAAAAGAAAAGAATTTAAAAACATAAAATAACACAAAATAGCTGAATGACATTCTTCTCATAAGCTTATTCAGCCAATTCGACTTGGTGCTTCTCAACGATGAAAGCCGCCTGGCACTAGCTGGCCTGCATCCACGCTGTAGCGGTTGCGACGCCGGTGACTTGAGGGGGACGCTTGCACTTTCTCTCCTAGTCCAACTAATCTTTTCCTCTGTCTCGCCTCACTCCGGGCCTCTCAAAGATTCAAAGATTCGAAGATTTTTATTGTGAGTTATACACGCCCTGTGTATTGAAATTCTTGTGCTTGCCTTTTCTGGAAAGCCGACCAATTTTTAAATAAAAATACAATATTTACATAAATGTACATAAAATAAGGATAAGGCAGAAATGAGGTAAGGAGGAAAAGTGCAAAACTGAGCAGGTTGTAAAAGAAAAACTTAAATTAAATGAAATGTGTGCAATACAAATTAATAGTACAGTAACAGTAAGTGAAATCCTAACAAGCTAAAGTGCAGACCAGTTGTGGATTAGGTTATAGAGTCCTCTCAGCTCTTGATGGCTCTAATGGCAGTGGGGGAAAAATATTTTTTTAGTCTGGTGGTCCTGCATTTGGCACTTCTGTACCTCCTGCCTGAGGGTAGAAGCTTGAACAGTCCATATTGGGGGTGGGTGGGGTCTTTGAGAATGGAGGCAGCTCTCCTGTGAACACTGCGGTGGTAGAATGCTCTGCAGAGAGCATCTACATCTCGTCAACTTATTTCTGTTTTCTGCCTCGCCAAATTCCTCCTCATCTCTTTTCAATCTGTTTCCTCTCACCCCCTCTAGCCGCCTGGTGCAGTGTGAACAGGGACTGAGCATGAAGATATCCAACGCCATGACTCCAGGACACGCGTTCCTCATCTCCTAACAAGCCCTCTGACCCTAAACCCCCCCACCACCCTCCCGCGCATTTCACCCCCAACCCCCACCCCTCTCCACGCATTCACCCCTCAACTCTTTTTGTAAGTACATGTTTACACAGTGCAAATGAATGGTGTCAACTGCAGTGAAAATTGAACAAACAGTGCATTCTACAGTGTGAGGTCCCTAATTTCGCCGGCTCGAGAAATTGGATTGTGTAACGTTCATGTTTCAAGTACCTTTGACACACTGTAAAGTGGAGTTTGTCATGTAGCAAGGACCCTGGCGTTGAGTTGTTCATGTAGCAGTAGCTGTTTTTGAGTAGAGCATTTTGGAAAGTGGCTTCTTTTCTCCACCCCTGTTCTAGGTGACGGCAGGTAGCACATCTAGTCAGCTGCTCATTCCAAATTTCCTCCCACGCACTGTTTTCCAATGATGACATATTTTGTAAGTTATCCAACGCGTCTGACGTTATTCTTACATCAGCCCTTCTGCACTAAATGAGGACCACACACCTCGTTTGCTCCCGACCTCAGGAAAACGGACCGCTTGATTTAGCTTGAAGGCTAGCAGCTAGCTAGGCAGTTAGCTCATCTTCTCTAAGTCTCTACGTACAAAATTGGTAGTTTATAATTGCCTCTGCACAGTAGTATCGCAAACCTACTTCGCCCAATAACGTTCATTCATACAACACAGTAATTCATACAACATCCATGAACATAATGTCACTTTGACAGTTCTCCAATGGCACCATCGTTACACTCTTCCTGTAGTCTGAATTTAAGACAACCCCCTATTTTGTAAAACCCTGTTTTGGGGTTTTTCCTTTTAAACCGAGGGTCAATCACCCTCAATCACTTTTGACCCGCTTATAAAGAGAACCAGGGTTACGGTCATAACTTTAGATTTGAAATGCTTGCTGAACAATTTGAGCTTGTTCACGACAACTAGGCTACGTTTATGTACAATGGCTGATGTGGGAATAATGCTAATTATACGCGTGTGTAAATACAGCACATGTGTTTAATGAGCAACAGAACACTGAACCCAAATCTCTGTGAATCCACGTATCACCATTCAATCACTTAGTTATGAAAATAGGTCTTGACAAATATTTAGGTGTATAGATGATTCTGATGGACATACATAAATATAGACATAGTTAGCTATTTATATTTCTTCATGTAGCTTCTATTTTATGAAACCGTAACGTTGACCCTCTGAGTAGGCTGGTAGAACAGGCATGCAAAATACATTGCAGGTTTATCTGTGAAATGTGTCTACTAATCTCTCGGTGTCTGTGTTGAAGGTGCCCTGTGGAGCTTTCTGACCACTATTAGAGCTTTAGAGCGGTGTTGTTTGTATGATGTAGGCACCACAGCACACTCCGATTTAACGGTTGTTTTTGTTTTTCTTCCTTTTTGGCTCTTGCTTGGCTCTGATTTACAGGCTAAACATATTTTGGATGTTTTCCACTCACATTCATTTCCGATTACACAACACCACATTCTCTCATTTAAAGATCAGGGTGATAATTACTGTTCCTTTAATCCCTTTAAACCACGTCAGCAGTAGATTTGGATTAAATCTCAGATTCATACAGTAAATGGCAATTTCAGTTTCTGAGGACGCAGCCTTTTAGAGATTTAAGAGACTGCGTATTTCTAACAAGTTTAAACCCGTCCTGAACCTTAAACTGCAGCTAAGCGATCCACAAAGATACACTCTGAATGTGCATAGAACTTTGGTTTGTTTACACAAAAGCTCCACAGTGCACCTTTACTCTTTCGCCTCTTAAAAATAATACGTAAACACCACTTGCACACCCGTGCCAAGTCCTTGTTTGTGTTCCAGAAGGAGCTGCTGTATTATGAATAAAACCATAAAGCCATATTGCATGGATTGATGTGTACATGTCAGTGACTTACTATACTGATAGCCATAGTTTTAAAGTATTCGAGTGCTCAGCTGAATGCAGCCCACACTCTCCAATCGGGGTGGGGGGTTCTTTCCTCCGCTTTGTGCCCGGCTCCGTCGGGTCGGGTCTATGAGGTAGATAGCGGGTGACCCGTCAGAAATCCCAATACTGTTCCCTATTGATACATTCCTGAATGTCCTTCAGACTGTGCAACTTGTTCTTTTTCTATCCTGCCGCTGCCCCAGTGCAACCTGTGCTTCGTCATACAATGGGAGAGTTATGCTGTTGAGACGTAGCGAAACAAGCCTTGTTTGAACGCTCCCTTGCGCCATGAACAGATGAAACGGCAGAGGAGGTGTGCGGCGGTCCTGGCTTCCTGTAACAAGGAGCAGCCCTCTGTAGCCGCAGGGAAGCCGGTGAACAGGAAGTTACCTCACAATACCAAGCCAATCAAGAATCTGACGAGCCGATCGAGGCCATAACTCTTCCCTTCTACGGCTGTGTTCTGTTTCTATCCTTCGACCGAGTGCATGTCAACTGAATGTTCAGTAACTTGTTTGCTGTAGTATTAGGGCCATGCTACTCTTCAATGGGTTTTGTGCATTTCTTACCTTATTTCTTTTCTAGTATTCCTATGAAGGAGACAAGAGACTAAAATCAACTCTATATATATATATATATATATATCTGTATATATAGATATAGATATGGCTAGAAGAATGTCATTTAAGAATGAACGTTCACTTTTATGGCAATGTTTAATGAAATATTAATTCTTAATGTATGTTTCAGTAAAACAGCTTTCTTTTAAGTGTAGAGACTTAACGCAGGGATGCAAGTATTATATTTGGTCTTTAAAAGAATATCTTGTTGAAATTCTAGATGATGTAGAGTGATGCAATTCAATAAAACTATCAAACTGAAGCTAGAGCCTCCGTCTCTGTGTTCTACGTAAATACCAGCAGCCCTTTGACATTTTCCCAGTCAGGCCTCCTTCAGCTCATATTCTAGGGGGAACTGGCTTAGGGCTTACATAATGTTAGTTTTCATTTAATATCGGAACAACGTTCCGGTTGGTTTAACGTTATTTAACTATTTATAGTGAAACATTGTGCCCACTGTTGAAGTGGAATACATTCTTCAAGAAACACAACATAAAAAACAGATGTGTCCTTAGCGACCATCCCACCATCAGTTGGAGCTCCTTATCTTACCCACATGCTGTTCGCAGCTTTAATACTGATATGCAAAATGAATGTGATGGTCGATCAACAACAACATAAACAAACTGCAGAAATACCTGAGGATTTCAATCAGATCATCTCAGTATGGCGAGAGAAAGACGGAGCTCCTGGTCACCTGCGACTGGGAACAATGAACCCAGATGAAGGCACCGTACCTTGAGGCTGAAGGAGGGGGGGGTTACTGGGTTTAGTGGTATTAGTGGTGGTTGTAAAGGCCATCAGGGGGACGCGTCCGTTTTCCAAGTACTCTGCAACCATAAATCACTGCGGCCTCTCTGGGGGAGAGGAAAGGAGGTGAGACTCTGGTCTCAATGTATACATCTTGGTTTAGCATGCCAACATCTCCAATTAGCTCTGAATCCAACGAATCAATAAAGACGGGTGTATTAGAATTGTGGAAAAGTGGGTGGAGGGTGAGCGGTAGCTTATCTGACCTGTGAGGGAATAGATGACGATACAAAAGATCATGGAGACCACAGAGATGAAGACCCAGTGAGAGAGCTAGACGCTGGTTCTCCATGCTACTGTAGATGGTGATGGACGCCCCATGGCACTGGAACACACACACACAAACGAGGCGATTAAAGGCAATTTCCATCGTTGTTGTGTTTGGTTGAAGTTAAGCTCTAGGAATAATATAAATATAAAATATGAATGCAGAATCTGCAAGCAGTGGGACAAGATTTGGGTTTTAGGTCGCACTGTAGGCAGATAAGTTGGAGATACAAAAAGAAGAAATACATTTTCCGCACATGATTCTTCGACATAACATTGTCGGGAGCTAAGGTTTACAATTTGTACAAGTCCAAAATAAACAATGTAGGAACTAAATTAAAACAATTTGGAATGACCAACTTAAATAGATACTTATTGCGACTAATTCCCGTCATGCTGCTCATGGTAACCATGGCGATCACGGTCCTGCTCATAATGGAGCTCAAATTAAAAGAGCTTGCACTGACTCGCATTATGATGCTCTATTAAGAAATTGTGTTGGACGCATTATGTGTTCAAAGATTTTATGAGAGACTTGAACAAATCCCGATGTTTGACGGAGATGCTTCAAGAGCAAAAAATTAAAGCAGGAATTCTGAACCGTTAAACGCCCTAAAATTACGCCTTTATTAAAATAGTTTCAAAACTACTGTGTTTTTTATTTCATTCATAGCAAACATTTCATCAACATTAAAAATGTATTAGAGAATAATTTGAATTGTGTGTTTTAATGAAAATAACGCAAGACGTCCCCCAGTGAGCATTTTTTGGTTGAAAAGACGTTTAAAAGACGTCTTTGCCCGACGTTGAAAAGACGTTGCAAAATGGTTTAAAAGTGAAAGTTGTTTCAACGTCTATTCGTAGACGTTGAAAAGACGTCTATGTTTAGACCACATTTCAACGTGATTTTTTAATACGGTAATATTTCGTCCTCTCTTGTGTGCTATATCATTATTTTAGATGTTTAAAAAGAAACTACGTCCACATTTGTTTACCACCGATATTATAAATCACGTTGAAAACGGGTCTATACGCGAACGTCTTTTCAACGTCTACGAATAGACGTTGAAACAACTTTCACTTTTGAACCAATTTGCAACGTCTTTTCAACGTCGGGCCATAGACGTCTTTTCAACGTTGTTTCAACGGATAAATTGCTCGTTGGAAACGTACAAGTTACATACTTAGTCACAGTTGTCATGTTAACAGCCCTTAACAAGGACAAACACATTCTTTTATTAATTTGCATTTATTATAAATATAACACTATACATATAACACTTTTCCTAATTAAAAATACAAAAATAAAATATATATTTCAGGGAAATTAACTATGGATTTAAAAGTGCAGAAACATTTCTGTGTTCAACAACAACAATTCTGTGTTTGTAGACCATTTTTCTGAATCATTTGAACTTCATTTTTAGATTCTGTAACAAGATGTGGCTGTGAGTCACTTGAGTTGGGATAGTATACCTGAAATTAGCTGCATCTCCCTCATCCTCACTTGAGGATTCTTTGTGTAAAGGGAGTCAGAGTGCAGAGAACAGCCCTCAATTGCAGATTTCTCTGGTCAACGTGTTTATTCAATTCAAATCATTTTATTTTGTTCAGCTTTGCAATCTGTAAACATGCAACATCCTATCCCCTAAACCACAAAATGTAAAAAACCTTCAACCAGGAGAAACCTGAGGAGAAAACAGCAAGGCAGTAGGTGTGTAGAGTATGAACAATTTAAAGATGTACAGTACATCCAATTCCTACGACAGAAATGATTCTAATATTGTGGATTACTAAGCCAGGGGTAATGCAGGACCAGTGCAGGGACAACCATCATCAGACGTAACATCAGATGCAACCACCACCCACAGAAACCTGTAAGGTGGGAAAGCACAAAGGCAAAGTTGGTCATTTGGGTTTATGATGACAGTAATAAACTAATAATAATAATAACAACAGCAGCAGGTGTGTTAGAACCCTAATTTATAGATTGTTCACTTATTACATTATCAACAAGATAACAATTCATCTGCAACTTATGGTATTTCTGGAGTAACATTTTCAGGTATATTACACAGTATCATGCTTTAAGCAGCAGTAACTTACAATGTGTTGTCCCTCTTGTTTACAGAGCACAACTTGTTGAATTCAGCCCTTCACCCTTGCAATCTGTATTTAGCCCCCATTGCTTTAAAAACGTATTTTCAATGTGAAATGCAATACCATTTATGGGTACAGCAACAACCTAACGCATTAGTAACACCAAACACACGAAAAATATTCTGGGATGTTTACTTTTGGTCCAGGTCATCATGCTGCACGCTAGCATGCTCCAAGCTAGCATGCTAACTAGCAAACTACCTGCGCTTACGCTAACTAGCTTAACAAAAAGGGCCGTCTTTCCCGTATCGGGTGGGCAGCACAAGTAAAACACCCGGTTATAGTTCCAGGTGTTCTTCATTCAAACACTCCCGTACTTACAGAGTAGTGGAGCCGGTAGTCGTGGTTCTATCAGCCCGTTCATGTCGCTCTGCTGCCGTAACTTCGCTTCGTGCTGCGTCCGCTCGGTGCTCTGCAGGCGTCTAAGAACTCGCGCATGCGCGTTACAGATGTGAGCGGAGTTACGTGTTTACAAGTAATGTTTGAACCTGCCCGCATTATTATGTCTTAAACGCATCTTATTAACAGCACGCAGTCCGTAGTTTCATATTTATAACGTTTTAAGCGAAATATTAAATACGTTGAAATTACGTCTTCGCGTAGACCAAATTTCGCCGACCAGTTCATTAATTATTATGAAAATCTTAACGTTAATATCGTCTATCTTTCAACCTTACGTTACATCATGACACATTTGTCAACAAATTGATGTTTTCTGGCACGTTGATGTTTTATCCCATTTTTAGCCGGTTGAAAAGACGTTGAAATGAGGTCTTAGACGTTCAGACCTCATTTCAACCCGATTTCAACCATATTTCAACGTTGAAATTGCGTCTTGTGCTCACTGGGAAAATGGGGCGGAGGGAAGTACTCCCCTTCCTTGGGATGAGGAAGTAGCGGGAGTAAAAAACCCGCTGAGCTTCCTCGGGACAGCTCTGATCGCCTGTTTGTTCAACAGCGATGTTATTTCGCCCTCTAGGACTCGAGCTGAATCGCCCTTGGCTACTGAAACTAACACCCCGTTGAATCTGGGTGGCTTCATAGCGAATTGCAGTCTGTACCCCTGAGAAATAGTGGATAAGCCCTACGGATGCACTGCGCATGCGCGCCACCGTTCTGCCCGACCAGTGAGTGGGCTGAACGCACCGTACGGTGACGTCACTTCCCTCACCTGGAGGACGCGGCCTCCCTTCGGTGGAGCGTGAGCTCCCCCTGTGGGGATTATGGGGCCATGACATGGATTTGTTTTTATCATGTATTTCGCCCTCGGCCTTCGGCCTGGCTGCGAGAATACAAACTTTATAACTTTGTTTGAGGTGGAAAGAAGTGCTTGGTGACACTTTGTTACCCGCCGCCCCCGATACTCCCTCCCTTGAACGTGAGGGGGGAGAAACATCAAAAGCTCCTCTGGAGAACTGGAAAACACCAGGGAATTTGGAATACAAACTCGAGGGGTTTGTCTCACCTCCACCTCCCTTCTTTTCTTTGAAGGTGGAGGGGAGGGAAAAGCAAGGCCGGTTAGGACGTGCGCTTCTTCTTCCCCTCCCCGGGGTGGGATGGGCGGTTCTTTGCTGCAGCGGCTGCAAAGGAGTGTTTGACCCATGGTTTGGGGTTTTCCACTCGAGGCTGCTGGACAGTCTGCTGACTCGCTGCCTGTCTGTGCGGTCTGGCGCCTCCCCGTGCCCCTCTGTGAGCCAGCCCTGCGCACCTGGGCACCTGCGGGGTGCGAGGGATGTGCTTTCGGGGCAAACAGAGGTCGAAGGCTTCGCCCTCTTGTTTCCTGAGGGTGCTGGCTTCCCTCATCTTTTCAAGAGTAGGGCCAAACAAACCCTTAGCTGGGTCATAAGCAGCATCCATCACCTCTGCCTTCTGCACATCGCTGAGGCCCGAAAGATTCAGCCATAGGGCCCTCTCGCCTGAGACCGCAAGTCCCATTACACGGCCGCAGCCCTGCACCGCACTGCGTGATGAGGGAGGATGAGATCATTTACTACGCAAATCTCATGCCACGGGGCCGGGTTTGGT